ATAATTGAAAAACCTCTGATCTCAACTTCTTCCAGACCCAAATAATACTCCAATGGCTGAGGAGAAGTTTCTCCATCTCAAACTCCACCTGAATAGAAAACCTGACTTTAACTTTCCAATCAATCAGGATCCTGTTTCCTTCCTGACGGCGCAGTGAACGAAAAGTGAGTAAGACCAGCATTCATTAGGGACGTTAATCAGTACAGTAACAGATGTGTGTGTGTGTGTGTGTGTGTGTGTGTGTGTGCGTGCGTGTGTGCGTGCGTGCGTGTGTGTGTGTGTGTGCGTGCGTGTGTGCGTGTGTGTGTGCTGTCAGCGTTCCAGATCCCACACGGTGCTAATTCCTCCTGCATATGGCTGAATTAATGTAAGACAAAGAGATTGACACATTAAGAGCAGAAATCTGTTTTCCTGAACTCCGTCTCCCTGTTGGTGGCTGTTTTAATTAGAAGAAAGCTGAGTCTGATAAAAAACGGTGATGCATTACTGCTTTGGTCCAGCAGGTAGCAGAACCTGCTGAACCAAACCTGCTGGTTCTGTTACCTGCTGGTAATAGAACCAGCAGGGAGTTGGACTGGTTAGAAAGTGATTTAGATGTTTAGTCAGTGGTTGGTTGGTTGGTTGGTTGGTTGGTTGGTTGGTTGGTTGGTTGGTTGGTTGGTTGGTTGGTTGGTTGGTTGGTTGGTTGGTTGACTGAATCCTGGGTCCAGATTTGTGTAAAATGTGTTTTCCAGACTCCACTTTTACATTCCTGATTTGTCTCTATTCCTTTATGTCTGTCTGGTGGATGGGGCGAGCTCAGACTCAGAGAGACGAGTTGATGTGTCAAACGTTTAATGAAATGGGACGTCACTGCTTCACGGCCTTCACTTTAATCCAACTACAATTAAACTTGATGGATGACGTATCTGAATCCTTAACTACAGTTGTGTTGCAGTGCTTTGCTGCTTTAAAACATGTCAGATAAGTATAAAGGCTGTTTGTGGCAGAATATATATTAGAATAAATTTACATGATGGGATTAAGACGTCATGGCGTGTTCAAATGTCACCGATGAAAAGATTTCTGCTTTTGAGCCTCTGGAAACCTCTTTAAATGAATGTCAGACACTAAGAAAACCCTGCAAACATTTTTTAGGATTGAGATTACAGGTAGGAACCAGACATTAAAAAATATTGGATTTTGATTGACTAGAGTTTAAGGCTCTGATGCCTTCTTTCGGGGAACAGAAGATGCAGATTTTGGGTCCTTCTTGCAGCACCACTGATGGAGGCCTCAGTGAGACAGAGGTAAATATCAGCTGTGTTTGTCTCATTATCTTAGCGCCTCCATCTGTGTTTGCTCCGGCTGATGAAGTGAAACAGCCACATGCCATCCATCTGTTCACCTGAGAGCAGCAGCAGCAGCAGCAGCAGCAGCAGCAGCAGCAGCAGCAGCAGCTGCAGCAGCAGCAGCAGCAGCAGCAGCAGCAGCAGCAGCAGCAGCAGCTGCAGCAGCAGCAGCAGCAGCAGCAGCAGCAGCAGCAGCAGCAGCAGCAGCAGCAGCAGCAGCTGCAGCAGCAGCTGCAGCAGCAGCAGCAGCCTATATGCATGCATGACCCTGTGAACTGCAGACGTCCAACAGTTCAGCAGCGTCACTCCGGGCTTCATAATGGATATTTTGCCGCCATATTGTCAGAATAGTATTTAAGTATTACTAACAACATGCTGTTATATTTCAGCATAAATTAGACGAGTATTGTTTTTTCTATTTGCAAGTAGAGCTTAAGTATATAATCTGGACTTGTCAGAAAGTATGTGTTTCCATGGAGACATGGCTGTAATATTTTAATAACATTTTGATGGAAGTGAATTTTCCTCAATTATTTGCTTCTTTATGTTGAAAGCAGAACAATTTCAGGAGCAGACGAAGAGAAAAATCTGTTTCTTCTTAACCAACTTGTCCCAGCACCGTCTCTAGAGTTTCCTCTTCCTTTTTTTTAAAACTTTTTTTATTTTCAAGTTTGAAGCTTTTAAACAGTTTTTCTCCCTGAGACACGCAGTCTTACTTTCAGACAGATCAGCTTTAAACAGAAATGATGCAAAGCAGGAAACATCCTCTGAGTGTTGAAAGTTGAGATGATGAATAAAGTGAATAAAATATTGCTTGAGATTAGGATTTTTTGCACCAAAATAACTTTGTGGATCTTAAACATTTCCATTTTTTGACTAATGATTAATAATTTTAATAACGTACAGTTTTGCTCCTCTGAATTATAATCTTTAGAAGAGATGGTTCTCTGCTAATGGAGATGTTGGAGTAGTAATCCCCAACTCCAACATCTCTAAATGAACAGATTTAAACAGGAGTGAAAAAAGGAAATGCCACTGATTAGCAGTGCTGGCTACCAACTGATGGTGTCATGCAGGACATGTTACTAGTTTGTTTCCATTAATCATATAATTGTCTAATTTGATATTTTCAAAACTTGCTAACACAAACGATAGTTTTTTGATAGTTTTCTTGCTGTGGATAAGGTGGGGTTTTTTAGCTGTATTGAAATTGTTTTATTTTGCAAAAAAGTTCAACGGAAACAGTTTTTAATTACCAACAATTGGTTATTACTACTGGAGCAAACCATGAAGAAGACAACAGGAAGTGGTACTAGTAGAAAGATGATGATGGCGCTGCATGATTTTAATGATTTATTTATAATTATCTCTTATTTAATGGAAACACCATGATTGCAAAATTGTTTTTCTTACAATAGTGGAATATTGACAAAGTACTACTTATCAGGATACTATTGAAAAGTTGTTTTATTTTAGAAATTCAGTTCAAGTGAATCCTGTTTACAGACATGTTGGTTTATTTCTGGTCATTTTGATGATTCAGATCAGCAGAAAAACTATTTTGATAACTTCATAGAAAGAAATTGAGATTTGTTTTTGGACCTGATGTGGATAAAAGACGTTCTTCCACAGTCGCTTTTTCAAAAGACTGAAATACTTTGTTCCTTTTGTTTTCTATCTTCTGGTGATTATCTCTGTGCAGCCGTCTCTCCTCCGAGATAAACGTCCTCAGACAGAAAAGAAGAGCAAAGCTCCAACAGATCCTCATCACTCTCCTTCCTTCAAACAAGCCGTGGGAAAACGGAAGAAAGCAGAAGGAAAGTCCCTCCAAACAAACACCGTCGGTGAGTTTATGTGGAATGTCATGAAAGATTAATACACTGTAGCTTCGCCCGCCCGGCGTCTGATAGGTATTTCTGCGACACGCAGCAGCAGCCCGAAGCGAGCAATCGTCCCGACTCAGCAGAGAGAAATGCTGGCGTGAGGTCACTTCCTGCCGCTTTTTCAGAAACAGAAAGACTCACACCGCAGGGTTTCATCTGCATCAACGCAGCGCCGCGCGCTAGCCTGATTATTAAACCTCTGCAGGTGCAAACCGAGCTCCCCAGTTTGAGACAAGCAGTTTGTTAGCCGACCTTTGACCTTCTGCTGCCGCCGGTTTGCAGCGGGCCGATGCACAACACAGATAAACAGAGCCTGTTTTTTTTTGTCTGATTTTAAAACCTGGAAGCTCTGAGGATCCTTTCAACATGTTCTCAGCTCCAGGAAGTGAAGCTTGGCTGTTATTAGTCAGAGAGAAGAAAAGCTCCTCCAGCTGCAGCAAACCACCACAAAAAGGCTGAAGAGATTTCACTTACTACAACAGGATATTTATAGTCTAAAAAATGAAGAACCAAAACAGTCATTAATCCTTCATGATGTTAGTAGAAGAATTATGTAGTGAAATATTTAAGAAAGTGAACAGTCTGTCTGAAATCTGACCTCCCATTAGCTGTTGGGATGTTTTACCACCTGATTAGATTAAGACGATTAAAGGCCTTAATGTTAGATACAGAAATGTTTGACTTTTTAAGGCGGAGTGGACGCCTTGCTAATTATGGCACCGTTTGATCCCATTTCATTCCTCATTAAAATCTCTTTTCATCGCATTTAATCGTCTCATTGCTTCCGCTGTTCCCTAATCTGTCATTATGCTCTTATTTCATCCCAGTTATCCCAGTTCACCCTCACTGTTCCTCCTGTTTCTTATTTCTTTTCCCTTTAATTCGATTCTATGTAAAGATGTTATGCTTCCATGAACAGGCTGGGATATTTTATGGCCTAAACAAAACATGGAAAGCTTTTTGCATTCTCACACAGAGACGTTTTGATCTGCTCAGTACAGGGATAAAACCAGACGACCAAATCTGCTGGAACTCTGCCTGGGTTGCTAGGTAACGGGTGGAACTCTGCCGGGGTTGCTAGGTAACGGGTGGGACTCTGCCTGGGTTGCTAGGTAACGGGTGGGACTGTACCGGGGTTGCTAGGTAACAGCGCAGCGCCTGGTAATTCGTTACATTCTGGAGGTTTTTGAAACTCTGAGTCAATCTAAATTTTCTTTTTTATAGATTTATAGATGAACATATTTTGATGCTCATGCTTGTTATTATTTTATTACATTTATTTTAAATGTAAACTACTTACAATATCACACTAAAGTACATTTTCTTTTATAAATTTTATATCGCTCATGTTGGATTTGTATGAACTTTGGATGGAATCAACACATTCGTTTCCCTTTAGAGATCAATAAATTATCTTCTAATCAAGTCCAAATATTTGATCCCAAAGGGGTTAAACATTGTTGTAACTCATTAATTCAAATTCTTCTGGGTTATTGTAGTTTTGGCTGCTGGCAGGAAAGATCTCCTGCTTTATAAATGAATGTGACATTGAATGTTTTTCTAATCCATAATTATGATTTTTATTCTATTCCATTCTGTTTTCCAGACACATAAAGAAATAAATATATTCCCAAAACCAGCAGTGTGTTTAAAGTGTTTGGGCTAAGAAACAAAAACTACATGATAAAAAACTTTTGGCATTTTTTCCTTGCATTATTTCCCTGAGAAGGATTTGGAGGATTCAATTGACCCAAGCAGCCCCCCGTCAGGGCAGAACCCGGCCTACCTGGTGGCAGATCTCATGGACGACCACCATGGTGAGCTCCATCTGGTAGGACGATGACGACACGTCGGCGTCCAGCAGGATCTTCTGCTCCACGAAGACGCTGAGGCCCCAGTTCTCCATGGCGGCGTAGGGATGTTTGGGCACCGCCAGCAGGTCTGCAACAACACAGAGACACCGTTACAGCTTCCTGTTGGGTCACTTCCTGCTGCGGCAGGACGACGGCTGGCGGCGGCGGCGCCGGCTGGCGGCGGCGGCGCCGGCTCCGTCCTGGCTTCAGATTAAACACGAGTCATCGTAACGGTCAGAGACGCAACACTTCATCACAACGAGGATCCACCACGTTTTCACACAACTCTGCTAAAAACTGCAGGAGGAGCCGTGGAGGGAAGGAGACACTGATGGTTTCTGAGAACATTAAATTATGAAACAGTGACATCAACAGATAAACTCATATAAAACAAGAGAAATTTGATCTCATTTCATTTCAGTTAAAAAAAGGGGTTTGGTGTATGTAAACTTCTGGTTTTGTCTAATTTCTTTAAAACACAAAACATTTAAACAGTTTTTAAATCAAAATGAAACAAAATCAATACAAAAATACAAAAGTTTAACAAATAGTTTAGGTTTAGTTTCCAGTGCAAATATTTTAGTGCACTAAAAATCAGACGTATGAGTCTGTTTAAAGTCAATAATTTATTCATACTAATTTAAAAAGTAATATTTATAAATGAAATAAAAATGTGTTGTTCCACTTTCACATTATCTAATTTAAAACTACTTTGTGTATTTTGTAGTAAAGCCTTTAATTATTGGAATAAATCTGGATTTCCTGGTTAAAACAGAAAGAAAAACCTTTTAGTAGCTGAAAACTCCTCAAAATGTCAATTTATGAAGAACTTTTACAAGAATGTGTTTTCAGTGGAAAGTTGTTCAAAGTGACAAACTGACACCAACGCAGGAGAGAGAGAGAGAGTTTCCTTCAGGAAGCAGAGTCCATTAGAACAAGGAAGGAGGTGTGTAACCCATAAGAAAGGTTACTTTAAACATAACCGCAGATGGCAGGTGCATCAGTTTATTGCAATGACTAATAGCAACACAACACAAGTATAAAGCAAGTTGGGTTTGATCAGAAGACTCTAAAATCGAGGAGAAAACAACGTCGATAAAAAATAGTAGAGTTTGATATAGTGAACATTTGTGGATCCACATTTACTGGACCCAATAAACTGGGTCCAGTTCATTGGGTCCAGTTCACTGGGTCCAGTTCACTGGGTCCAGTTCACCGGGTCCAGTTCACTGGGTCCTCTGGGCATCTTCTGCCATCCACGTTCAGCAGAAGATGATCTCATGATCTCCTGGTGTCTGCAGGCCAAAAGTTCACCATAACAAACAAAAACAAAACCTGATCTGGAACAAGGTCAAAGTAAAGCATCTTAAAATACAGGATGCTAATGTCAATAAAGCTTAAGCTACAATTCAATCATCATTTCTCAAGTTTTTTCCATGTTGAACAACAATATTCGAGTTGTCAGAGTTCAATATTACCATCATATCAGTAAAACTAAAGAAATTAGCTTATATGTGGTGTTAGCCATGCTAGCTGTGTTGTTATTTCTGCATTTTGGACACATTTGCACCAGAAACAAAGTTAGATATTAACCACAGACTGTTTGTAAATAGTGAATGAAATGAAAGCACCAGGTATTCACAGTAAAAAGCTGCAGCTTTGGATCTGCTGCAGTTCCAGAGACGCTTCCTCTGTAATCCCAGCTTCATCCAGACGTATAGAAGACGAACTGCAGGCAAGGAAAGCCAGACTGCAGGTGTTTCACTTACAGCTATTGTTAATAGCTGTAAGAACTCGCTTATAAAAAGCTCTGGAGTCTGAGACGTGACTGCACTGCAGATTTAATCTGAGCCGTCCACAGATTTATAATCCTGTGCAGACATCCAGGAGGAAGTTTTACCGCCTCTCAGGACAGGCTCTATAATCTCCAGCAGAGCTGATGCTGTTCCTGCTGGATGAAGGCCAACAGAAAGTGTTAATCTCACAGATAAGCCTCTTCTCAACCTTTAAGGAAGATTTATCTGATAAACTGATCAGGTGTTATCACCTGCAGACAAATGCCACCGCTTCATGATGACAATACAGATTTACTGCGCTGACTTTTAGCAGATTTAGGGATGTTCACAGTGTAGGTGGGTTACTGGATGGGAGGGAAGGATCATTAAATGTATGTAAATCTGACCAATAAAGATCACAGGAAACAGATTTATTGGCACCTGAGGGAAACATGTGAAATAACCTTAGAAAACAAGAATCTGTTAAAGCAGCAGGGAAATTAAAAATCCAACATCTGAATTTACTGAGAAAATCAAAGATAGGTGGAGCAAAATCCATCCAGACAACTGAATAGTTAGCAAGATAACTTCGTATTGTAGAGCTAGAAAACTAGATAAATAGAAAACTAGAAAACTAGATAACTAGATAACTAGATGGACTGTTAATCTTGCCAGGGGAAAATTATTTTTTACAACAAAGAACAAAATTGCAGATTGCATTGAGGAATTACAATGAAACACAATTAATATTGTAAAACTAAAAGCCAGACATCATGTATAAAACAAGATGTTGCACCAATCAAAATAAAGAATGACATAAAATAAACAACAATATCGTAGAAATCGCTTGAATAAAAGATAAAAAAGTATTGGTACAGATACTAAAGCAATGAATTATATAAAGTATAGAGAAAAGTTTCATTCAAAATTATTAAATAAATACTGTAAAAAACTGTTGACTAACCCAAATTAATAAATGTTTGTCTGAAATAAAAACTTACTATTACAATTTTATTTATTTATGCCGGTGTGTTTTTTGTGACACTTTTACTTTTTAAACCGTTTTTCAGTTAAACCGATTTCATGGCTCTAGTGGCTTTTATCCTCCTGAGTTAAGGACTGAATCATCTGCATATAAAGCATCTGCTGTCCCATCTGCCTCCCCGTTTATATTTTCAGGTTCATGTTCTCACATGAGGGGGCGGAGTTTTCTCTGAGTGCAACAAACATCAGCGCATCGATATGAGTGACAACAAGGCAGGACTGGAACCGGAACCAGCTGCAAAATACTGAGGAAGAAGAAACGAAACGTTGACGCCATTTTTTCTGAATGTTTCAGATTTTGGCATCAAACGTCGCAGGATAGCAGCAACTATTGATCCCACATCAAAAACAATCAATCTGGTCATGAAGGACAAGATACTTTTTTCTTAGTTTTATCATAATTAAAAAAAACGTAAAATATTTAACATTTTTTCTTTGCAAATCAGTAGATGTTCAACTTGAGCAGATAAATAATAAAAAACCCTGAACTCTGATAATTAAGCTGCTAAATGACAAGCAGTAATTGCTGAACAATGTGTGGAGCATTAAGAGCCTCACAGTTTACAGGGACTCAAAGCCTTTAATCGCTTTAGGAACAATCAGACAACCTGGAAGAGTCGGAGTGTGACGCTGCAGACACGGCAGCTAAAGCAAAGCGAAATATGATAAACACGTTACTACAAACTCAAACTTCCAAGCCTCGAACGCGATTGGCTGACAGCTTATTACCCACATGACTGAGGCTCAGACAGCAGAACTGATTGGCCGGCGAAGGGGGACCGGAGATTTGATTGCTGTAACTTCAGGGGAATGCAAATCAGTTGTTGGGTTTTAGGTGAAACATGCAAATGAGACATTATACTCTGCAGACATTCAAATTAAAAGGAAATGAATCGCTTCACTTTCCAGTGCGGCGCGAAGCTTCAGGAGGCTCCGCGCCCCTCAACACAGACGTGTGAGTAATGAGATTCTCTCCTCACGCCGTGGTTTTTCTGCTGCGGCTGCTCAGGTGTCTCACCCGGATCCGGTCCGTCTCTGAGGACTTCCTTTCAAAAGCAGAAATAACTAAAAGCTTTTGAAACATCTGCAGCTCTGCTGAGACGTTTCTATCCAGCACCCCGGACAGGAACGCCATTAATTTGGTCTTTTGAAGATTAATTACCAATTCTGTTCCCAGGGCTGGATGGTTATACAACAAACAACCAAGAGTTGCTTTGAGACTTTAGAGCAACAGGACAACTTGTGTTGTTTCTCAACCAAAATGTAGATGAACTTCCAATGACTCTTTCCACCTGTGCTTGATAATAAAATAGAACTGAATTGTTTCTGTGGTATTTTGTAAAATCAAACTAATTGGTACCAATTAGCATTTGGTGTCTGATTTTGGTTTTTTGTCAAGCTCTGACCTGCCAGCACCATTTCTGACCAATTCTGGTTTCAGAATGATAGATTAAGAACAAACAAGAAAATTAAAGTTTGCATTTTTCTTTCAGCTTTGGTGGAGAAACTGGGAGAGTCAAAGGGTTTAAGCAGGAGTTTTTTTTAAACCATTCCAGAAGATTAACATAAACGGTGATGCAGTTGGTAGTTTGTCCCCCAAACTACCAGCAGAAAAGTCTGAATGGATCAGATTAGAATCTGAAGCCGATTGGAAATTATTTCAGTTCCTCCAACTGTTGGACCCAAAGATTAGAGAAGATCGGCTGATATTCAAAACCTTGTTTTTATGTTGTATAATCCTTCCACCTTGGGAGAATATCAGCTTAAATAAACTATTAAATGCCTCAAACTTGTTCGTTATTTATGCACATTTAATCAGAAGAAAACTTTGAAGATTAGAATCTTATTTCCAATGATGTCCTTAAATGACCGAAGTTCAAACTTGTTGAAAAACAACAAACTAAAAGAGTTGATGACGTTTGTTCAGGCTTTTCTCTGCTGGGCTTGTTTCCTCAGATCCTGATATTTTACTTGGGTTATTTTTTAAATGTGTTTGATTTAAAGCATCTAAATGTGGCAAAAACCAGCAGGTGTGTGTTTGGGGGCAAACAGTTTTTTATATATAAGGCTGTTTGTATCTGAAAAAAAACACAAAACAGAGCTTAGACATTAATCCTACAACAAATCCGAAAAGTGAATTGTTGTTTGTGTTGAGTAAGAAGCTTTTCCCACTCCATGTGGGTGGATCAAGTTTGGCTCAAGCACCGAAACAGAAAAAGACATTGAAAGTTGAGGGCTGAAAGGACGCTGATCCTCCCACCACGGCCAT